TTTAGTTTGCTACTTTTTCAACGCAAAATGAAACCGGTCTAGGTGCCGATCTAGATGGGAAAATCTAGACCGCGGTCAATATCAATTTCAGCCAATCAAGTTCGTGAATTCGGTAGTTCCCAGTCTCTGTGAGGCACAGCCATATAATAAAATAGAATAAAGTAGGATTAAAAGATTATCATCTCTCCTATGCTCTGTTTCGCAATCAGATTTTGTCGCATGATCAAATTTAATCGTTATATAACGGGATTGTGCTCTTTATAACTGGTCATGCTTGAGGAAACAAATAACTGCTTACCCGGGGCCATTTCCTTCGCTCTTGCCAACAGTATCGTCTCCCAGTCCTTTGCGGCCTGGTTTTGGAACTTCTCTGCCTCTTCTGGTATTGTAATCATTGTGTGATGTAACGCTCCAGTCACGCTACACGGCTTGTCACGTAACCAGTGCATGGCAGTGGCGGAAAAGCCCAAATTTACAGATTGAGGAGGGAGACACTGACTATAGAAGCTTGTACCGCACGTCGTGACGAACACGTTGGGGAAGTCTAGAAAATAGCTCTTTGGACCTGGTATAAGACCTGGGAGGAAGAGATAAATCTAAATCAAACCCTTTTTCTTTTTTTCGTTTCTCTTTTTACACGAAATGGAAAATCTGAATGGGGCAACCATCGCGCTTCTACATGTATGGTAAATTCTTTCGTGGACTAACCCTGCAATCGAAGAAACAAGGACTTGAAATCGTTAACGGGCTGATCTTCGTAAATAACGTGAATAGGAAGATCATCTCCATAAATCTTTCGCAGCTCTTTGACGCATGCGTACAGCAGTGGCATTGAAGTGCCACCGTCTGCGCAGCCGTAGTCTACAATGGTGAACACGGACCCAGGCCTCACAAGAGCTGACTTGACACTCTCCAACATAAGAGGAGCAGATTCTAATATCACGTTGTAACATCCGATTGTGTTGTCTGAGTAGAACCCAGACCCATCATCACCGTACGGGGTGTGGCTGTGAGGGGACTGGAGGACGGAAGAAATGAAAAGACTATCAGCAAATGATACCGGAACGTCCGAGTGTACAGAAACGAGGGCACATGTACGCCCAAAGCCGTGGTTAAACTGCAACAAACTCATCAAAGAGTAAATCTCATTAGAAAAGGAAACAAAAAGTAGTATTTCGTATACATCAGTAATAATCTGACCTATGTGTCACGAATCAAGTTGCGCGTCCAAACGCACGTGATGGGCTGTCGGTTGATAACTCAACTAGCACGGCCCTTTGTATGAAGATGTTAGAGACACGGCCAACAGTTCCAAAACAAACCAGTTAATTGCACCACTACAAACCCACAATGGTTGAATTTGGAAGCTCAAACTAAATTCACGGAGCCAAGGAGATGATCAAAAACAGTGATTCTCGATGCAATATGATTAGTTAGTTTTCACACATGGTATTTACCATATTCATCATATGCTTTCGTCATCTCGTAGCTCCTGGCACCCAGGCTTTTCGCATATTGTTAGTAAGCGCGACCTCATGGTACCGAGACAATAGGCGAAAAAACCGGATGCACCCGAGATCCGCAGTAATACGTGACAACATTTAACCAATCAGGCTCCCTTCTAAACATAGCCTTTGTTTTAAAGTGCCACTATCATGAAATTCTCGATACCCAATTTTTTACATTTTCGTACACAATAGGTCTTTCCTAAATATCTTGGCAAATTTCAATCTATTGCGAACATTAGAACTCATCTTTTTTGGACCTTTATTTCTNTTAGTTTTCACACATGGTATTTACCATATTCATCATATGCTTTCGTCATCTCGTAGCTCCTGGCACCCAGGCTTTTCGCATATTGTTAGTAAGCGCGACCTCATGGTACCGAGACAATAGGCGAAAAAACCGGATGCACCCGAGATCCGCAGTAATACGTGACAACATTTAACCAATCAGGCTCCTTCTAAACATAGCCTTTGTTTTAAAACTTATCGCTGGTGGAGACGAGTTCATAGGGAAATCATTCTGCAACTTGGGGATTATCTTCTTTTGATTGAAGTAAGGAGTTATCATTTAGGTTTACTAGTACTCACAAACTTTTCGTTACACGAAGACATCCTGTTGCTTCCTAAATAGATGCTTGTTTGCCTTCTTGTTGCAAACTCGGCAGTGAGTACACTAAAAGAAAAAAAAAATAGACACTATTAAGAATATTGAAGATTGAAATAGTCTAGCCTTTTAATTGATTTGAGTGAATTCATGTTCCAGAAAATTATCTTTGCTGAAAGTTGAGAATGGACCTTTTAACCGATGTCATACAATTTTAAAAATTCTTCGTATTTTTTTATATAAACATAAAACTACCTCGATAGATCAATCGATCATATGCCCTCTGCCATACATTTCTTTGTAAAAATTGGCAACTTTGGGGTCCCATATTTTCACGAGTTTGCAACGGATTCTTATCAAACTTCGCACATTTATTAAATTCGGCAAGATAAATCGACTCGACATCAAAATCAGTAAAATAGTGTTTAAACTAAATATGAGATATCATACCTTAACAGATTTTCACGTAATCGAGCGTTCAGACGTACGAATAAGTTAAAGAACAAACTACTTGACGCGCTGGTTTACAACTTATGCAAAAATATTTCACGGTATGCTGGTAGCGACGCCGGTTTACAAGGATTTGTACCTCAAAGTATTCTCTTCTTCCGCGATTCTTAAAGCAAGTGATGTGTCCTTTTTCCCTTGAATGACGAGATTCAACGATGAAATGTAACGCTCATAAATATTTTATCCGACCAAGTCTGGATTGTTGATCCGCGTGGTTTGTGGTTAGGAATGTGGCAATGTGGCACCAAATTATATTTATATAAGGTGTCACTGTGATTAAAAAAAAATACAAATAAAAAGTTTAAGGTTTTTTT